TTTCTCATAATACATGACTTATAGACACTTCACTTTCCTGATTGCCTTGTTTGAATATGCTCCAGTTTGTTAATGTCCTCTTAAATGTAGCATCCAGAATTAAATGTAAAACTCTATGGGCTGGCCAACAGAAACCCAAGTGGAACGGAAAGTCCCTCTGATCTGGTCACTACCATTCTCTTAGTGCAACTCAAGACTCATTGGTATTTTTTGGCATTGCCAACCCACAGTGAACTAGGACCTACTTCTCTTCTTCACACATGCTACCATTAAGCTCTATCTCCTCATCCTTAAATGTCTTGCATTAAATAGGGCATTAAAACCCTTTATTGCGGTGCGTCCCATTTTATAAGCCTGGGTTTATTCTGGACTTTAGCCCTTATGACTCAGTTCCTAGAGGTTTGTGACATTCTTTGGGCTTTGTCCTTGGAAGCATAGTCCTCCTTCTGTCATATATACATGTACTTTTAAGATCTGAGCTCATCAGAGAATAATCTATAAGGACACTGTAGTTTATTAGAAATCTCTTCCTTTTTAATTTATCATTGGAACTTTTCCAAATTCTACAGTTCTGAATTTTCAACTGGATCCCTCTCCCTCTTGAGCTATCTTTCTTTTTTGGTGTTAGGCCAGGAGATCATACTTATCTTTTCTCTGATCCTTTTGAAGTCTACCTTACACATACACATACATACACCACACGCGCACACGCACACACACACACACACACACACACACACACACACACACACACGTTAATTAACCTATGTGACCACGCCCAGCAATTTTTTTTTTTTTTTTTTTTTTAGTTTTTTTTGCTTAACAGATATCCAGATGACAGGATCACTTTCCCCAAGATTCTTGTCACTTTCACTTCGCTAACCAAATCTTCCTTATTTATTATCAGGATTAAGCCCAGCTTAGCAATTTACCTCATTGCTTCTTTCATTGCTTCTTCATTCTTTTGAGAACTGTAATGACACTGTATCAGCAAGAGAGCCGAGAATCTGTCAGATGTTTTCTTCACTTTAAGATGGTCTTAAAAATAAGAAAAAAGAATGTATCAGATATGTTGCTATCAGAATAACTTCCAGCAGATATTCAGATGTTCTATGTCTCTGATCACCCTTTCTTGTTCGTCTGTGTGACAGTTTTATGAAGTGCCATTCATACTTTTATTTATTTTATTTTTTATTTTTATTTTGAGACAGAGTCTCACTCTGTCACCCAGGCTGGAGTGCAGTGGTGTGATCTGGGCTCACTGCAACCTCCGCCTCCCGGGTTCAAACGATTCTCCTGCCTCAGCCTCCTGAGTAGCTAGGATTACAGGTGTGAGTCACCACATGTGGCTGATTTTTGTATTTTTAGTAGAGACGGGGTTTTACCATGTTGACCAGGCTGATCTCAAACTCCTGACCTCAGGTGATCCACCTGCCTCAGCCTCCCAAAGTGCTGGGATTACAGGCGTGAGTCACTGCGCCCGGCCCCATTCATACTTTTAATCTGAGCAGTCTCTTGTATACTTCTACAACTATAATCACTTTCATTTATCTGTTTCATTCTCATTGAATGCTTTTCACCCTCCAGAATTACTAGTTATACCTTCTTGATTTATTACTGCTCTCCTCTTCTTCTGTATGGTATCTCTGAACCAAGTTTTCCAGATGCTAGCCAGAAGTTCCACCGTATCAAATCTAAACAATACCTATAAAACTGCATTTTCCTGAGTGTATTAAAATTTTACATTCCCGGCCGGGCACTGTGGCTCACGCCTGTAATCCCAGCACTTTGGGAGGCTGAGGCAGGCAGATCACCTGAGGTCAGGAGTTTGAGAGTAGCCTGGCCAACATGGTGAAACCCCGTATCTACTAAAAATACAAAAATTAGCCAGGTGTGGTGGTTGGCATGCCTGTAATCCCAGCTACTTGGGAGGCTGAGGCTGGAGAATCGCTTGAACCCAGGAGGTAGAGGTTGCAGCGAGCGGAGATCGCACCATTGCACTCCAGCCTGGGCGACAAGAGAAAAATTCTGTCTCAAAAAAAAAAAAAAATTTTACATTACCTTTATTACCCATATTCTGGGTGTTGGTACATAGATATCTGAGGTCTTAAAAGTGTCATCTCTGACTCTCTTCCTTGTTTTTCCTTGAGAATTACTAGGCATTGCCTTAGCTTTAGTTCCTCTTTATTAGACTTATATTTTACATACCTCCCAGAAACACAATAATTCTAACACAGCACTATGTCTCAATGGAGGAATTAGTTTTGATTAACTGACCAGCCATATATCATTATCAACATCATCATTATCATCATCATGAATATTCTTCTCGGCTGGGTGCAGTGCCTCATACCTGTAATCCCAGCAATTTGGAAGGCCAAGGCAGGAGGATCACTTGAGCCGAGGAGTTCGAGGCTGCAGTAAGCTATGACCGTGCCGCTGCACTCCAGCCTGGGTGACAGAATGAGACTCTATTCTCTATTTTCCTGGATGCTTGCTCCTTGTTTCTCTTTCCTTCTTTTTTCTTTAAAAAGTTTTTAAACTTTCAGACTTTTTAAAATGCTGCAAAAACAGTACAAAAATGTCCTTATATCATTTATTCAACTTCTCTACATCTTACATAACCACCATAACCAAGAATAGTATTGGTAATCTACAGATATTCGAACCTCACCAATATAACCAATGTCCTTTTTCTGGTCCAAGAGCCAGTTGAGTGTCATATATTACATTCAGTTGTCAAGTCTCTTTAGTCTCCTTTAATCTATGACAGTTCCTTACTCTCTTTGTCTTTCATGGCCTTAACAGTTTCGAGAATATCTGACTCCTTAAAATATACACGGTGATAGGCGACTAGGGGAGCTCCAGCTCACTGTGGATTTAGCAAAATACCAAGTGATGGCATGAAGTTGCTTTTAAATGACCCATCTTGTATTTCATCGTCAATAAAACCACACTTAGTTACCCAAAGACTGAGAAGGGAAAAATTCTATGTAATTATTTGATCACCTTTTTTTGTGGAGAGAAAAAAACTGACAAAACAATGAGCTCTGGAATAGAATGCAGTAGAGGCATCATGCTCAAAGAGAGTAGCAGATGTGGCCAGGGCAAGGTCACATGAAGAAAAGGGATACACAAGTGATGGCGAGGTGTACTGAGGAATAATTAACAGTTGAATAAAAATGCATTCATCAGAATGTCAAGAGTTCAAACTAGAAAGGTTTTGAATTTTATTTTTAAATGCACTATAAATAAAATCCACCTCTCTCCAATAAAGCCCTCTGTAGAATTTTGCCTTAGCTCTTGTTTCTCTCACCAGAATAGAGAAGTGAACATCGCCTTTGGAGGATATACTCTACCATTCTCTGAAGCTGTTTTCTTGCATCCAGCTACCTCACTATTATAGTCAGCTGAGAAACACTGTAGCCTTTCACTAACGCAGGTCAAAGATTTCTCCCAGGATCTACAAAGCTAGATTCAAAATTGCTCCTTTGAACACCTGCAATTTGCCTGTATCAGTTTGGATCGCTGGGGTTCTTGAGGTGACTAACAAATTGCAAAGTGTACTTTCAGAGGAAGGGCCTAACCATCCTGGAGGGTCCTAGAATTGGGTCCTTTCACAGGCAGATCTGGAGAAGATGGGAGAGGGCAGGAAAGGAAAGTGAAGGATATGACCACTATGTGTTCAGCGTGCAAAGGCCTGCTGGCATTTTGCCTTTGGGAATTCTGAAGTCTGGGCACATAAGGTTCAGCCGCAGTTGCCGTTTTCAACAGTCATCCTTATTTTTATAAACATTGTTATGATTATTCAGACACGGAATTTGTGATTACACTCTCTGCTCCTGTTCTGAACCTGAGGGAGTCCACTTAAGCTAACAAGTAGGTTTTTGAGGACATGTGTGGCAAATGCTTACCCAGTGAAGGGATTAAGGGGCTCAGTAAGCACTTGTCCATTGGCGCAATGGCTGCCAATCTAATTCTACTGATTCCTCTAAATGTTTCTGGAGTTCAGAAATCTATTCGATCCAAGGGCACTTTACCTGGGGTCCTGGAAGCCAAATGTCAACGTAGTTCTTAACCCTCCTAAGCCTCTTAACCTTCTGGGTACAACCTCTATATTTACCTTCTGGCTAAAATCATTTCCCCACCCCCAGCCCAGTCCTTTGGACTCTCCCAGGCCAATTCCTGGCAAGGTCTTTGTTGAACTGTATTTGCAAACCAGGGTCTGGGGCACGGTGGCAGTTCCTTCGTCTGTTGTTCCCTTAATTTCGTCTGGTTTCACTGGCTCCAGGACAGTGCCCGGCCTAGGGTGGGAAGAGTGAGGCACTCACCTTGGTGAAACACAACTCAGTAATTAAGACAAATGATTTTTAATGCACTATTTAAAAAAAAATCAAAAGCAATGCAAAAATTCATGATGAACAAATGATCAGCATTTGAAATACAGACAGGATCCCAACCTGCACTTGCATGACTTTGTCTCGCTTGCCTCACCCTGAATTCAGCCTTGACACTTCAATTAAACTTTATTTACAAAACAAGGGGGCCGGTCAGCAGGATGTTTGCCCATACGACTTTTTTAAAGTATCACATTAACTACTGTTTATCTCGATGACTGAAGGGTTCTTTTGGCATCCCTGTAACAAATGCGTCTCACCCTAGTTCTGCTCCAAGGGTTTTTGTCCAGGCACACCGTGACCTCACCGTTCCTACCCACTCCGAGGCCTCTGTCAGGGTTCAGCGTTCAAGTCCCGGGTGTCCTCTGGACCCGCCCCTTCCTCCTGCCGGGTCAGGTGCCGAGGGCGAGCCCGGGCGGCGCGGAGAGCGGTCCCGGCCAGCCCTCCACGACTCCTCCCCCTGCGCGCTGGGCCACTCAGCTGCTCTGCCGCCCAGCGCGCCGGGGCCCAGACCCCGCCCCGGCCCCGCCTCCGACGCCTGCCGCTCCGGCGCCGGCTCCCCCTATATAAATCGGCCATTTGCTTCGCTCCGCCCCGCAGCGCCGGAGTCAAAGCCGGTTCCCGGCCCAGTCCCGTCCCGCAGCAGCCTGCCGCCTCTTTCCTTTCAACATGACAGATGCCGCTGTGTCCTTCGCCAAGGACTTCCTGGCAGGTGGAGTGGCCGCAGCCATCTCCAAGACGGCGGTAGCGCCTATCGAGCGGGTCAAGCTGCTGCTGCAGGTACGTCCTGGGATCCAGGAGCCCAACCAGGAAGTGGGGGGAAGGGTCGCACAGAAGGCGGGCGCCCGAGGGGTGGCGGGGAGCGAACTCCAAAGACATGGCCAGGGAAGCGGCTAGGAGAGGCCAGAGCCGGGCGCAGAGGCAGAGCAGAAGGCAAACTGGTGGGAGGCGCCTTTAGTGACCTGAAGTTGTGAGTCTAGAAAGGGGCCAGGGGCGGAGAGCAGGACCAGGCTCTCGGCATCCCCGAGGCGGCCGACTCGGATGGAGCAGTCCCTGAGTGACGGCCTCCCCGGGCCTGGGCGTCAAGGGCGAAGGCCGAAAGCCGGCGTTAGAAAGAGGAACGCCAGTTCTTAACGAAGACCTCAAGGTCGCGGCAAGGAGATAACTGCCCGGGGAAGGCCATGCGCCCGGGTCCGGCGGCCTCCCAGCCCGCGGACGCGCTCAAACCTCGCCGGGCCGGAAGCCGGCGCCGGGAAGCGCGTGTTCCTTTTACGTCCGCCTCCGCGCAGCCGCGGCCGCCGTGTCCCCTCCGCCTGCCTCCCTGCGCCGCGCGCTCTCCAGTGCTGGCTCTAGAGGGCGCCCCTGGGCGAGCGTGTAGGGGTGCCGGCGGCGGCGCTCGGGTCACCTCTGGAAGCGGAGTGGGGGCGGAGCGAGACGGAAGCAGCTCAGGAGACCGGAGGCGTAGGCTGCGGTCCCCAAGGTGACCGCGCCCTATGTGGGACTCGCCCTAATGCCTCTGAACCTGGGTTTGAGGTAATGACCTTTATCTCAGGTTTAAAGGTCACGAGTCCGCTGGAGGATGCCCCCTCCCCACTCAGAGGGGTGGAGGCTTAATACCTCTGGTGCCGATCACCTCTTCCCCTGTGACAGCCTCATATGGTTGGGAGGCTCCAGCCAGTATGATATACGAAGACTAGATTTGGGAGAGGGGAGCCAGCCTTAAAGGGTATTGATCCATATGGCATATGCCCTTCTCTTTCCCTTCCGCATGGTTATAACTGTCCCTGTTGGCTTCTTCCTGTCTGTTAGGTGCAGCATGCCAGCAAGCAGATCACTGCAGATAAGCAATACAAAGGCATTATAGACTGCGTGGTCCGTATTCCCAAGGAGCAGGGAGTTCTGTCCTTCTGGCGCGGTAACCTGGCCAATGTCATCAGATACTTCCCCACCCAGGCTCTTAACTTCGCCTTCAAAGATAAATACAAGCAGATCTTCCTAGGTGGTGTGGACAAGAGGACCCAGTTTTGGCGCTACTTTGCAGGGAATCTGGCATCAGGTGGTGCCGCAGGGGCCACATCCCTGTGTTTTGTGTACCCTCTTGATTTTGCCCGTACCCGTCTAGCAGCTGATGTGGGTAAAGCTGGAGCTGAAAGGGAATTCCGAGGCCTCGGTGACTGCCTGGTTAAGATCTACAAATCTGATGGGATTAAGGGCCTGTACCAAGGCTTTAACGTGTCTGTGCAGGGTATTATCATCTACCGAGCCGCCTACTTCGGTATCTATGACACTGCAAAGGGTAAGTTTGCTGTGGGCTTTAAAGTTGTGTTCTTAGGAGACAATTTAAAAGAGCGTTGTACCAACCTAACATTCCAAGAGCTAGAGAGTTTTTTTAATTGCTGAAGGAAGCCAAGATCATCCAGTGCGACCCTCATGCACAGATGACATGTTTAGGGGATGTGGGGAAAGGAAGTCAGTAAAACTCTACTTTTTGGTAAAAGCATCTCTTTCCTATTCCCAGGAATGCTTCCGGATCCCAAAAACACTCACATCGTCATCAGCTGGATGATCGCACAGACTGTCACTGCTGTTGCTGGGTTGACTTCCTATCCATTTGATACTGTTCGCCGCCGCATGATGATGCAGTCAGGGCGCAAAGGAAGTAAGTTCCCCTTGAGCAGAAGATAAAATTGTAGGCGTGGGGCAAGCTGCGGCCACAAACTAGTGATGCCCACCTTTAGAAATGGCTGGCTGTCCAAGTCAAGGGATGGGGTTGATAGCATCTGTGTCTATTCCACAGCTGCCTTTGATCCGGCCCTTCAGATGCCTATGAATGAGGGTGCTTAACTGGTATTAGAGATTAAGACCAGTGGGTAGTCTGTGTATTCCTGTGGTCACAGCATTAATATTTCAGTGTTGCCCATGCTAATGTGTGAATGTTGGGTTTAAAGCTGATGTTCTTAGAGGTAGGGCTCTGCTTTATTTAGCCTAGTGAATCTTAGGATTTTTCATCGGCCTTCAGTCACCAACTCTGTCTTTATTCTTTGCAGCTGACATCATGTACACAGGCACGCTTGACTGCTGGAGGAAGATAGCTCGTGATGAAGGAGGCAAAGCTTTTTTCAAGGGTGCATGGTCCAATGTTCTCAGGGGCATGGGTGGTGCTTTTGTGCTTGTCTTGTATGATGAAATCAAGAAGTACACATAAGTTATTTCCTAGGATTTTTCCCCCTGTGAACAGGCATGTTGTATTATATAACATATCTTGAACATTCTTGACAGACTCCTGGCTGTCAGTTTCTCAGTGGCAACTATTTACTGGTTGAAAATGGGAAGCAATAATATTCATCTGACCAGTTTTCTCTTAAAGCCATTTCCATGATGATGATGGGACTCAATTGTATTTTTTATTTCAGTCACTCCTGATAAATAACAAATTTGGAGAAATAAAAATATCTAAAATAAATTTTGTTTGTCTGCAGTTTATTTTCATATAAAAATATATTTTATATTTGAGTGCTACATTTGAATAAATACTACCTTTTTAGTGAATGCTACATTTTAATAAATGCTACAATATCTCTGGAGATGAAGAACTGTCTTTTTAAAACCAATTGTCTGGTGGCTCAAGCCTGTAATCCCAGCACTTTGGGAGGCCGAGGCAGGCGGATCACGAGGTCAGGAGATCAAGACCATCCTGGCTAACCCGGTAAAACCCCGTCTCTACTAAAAAATACAAAAAACTAGCCGGGCGAGGTGGCGGGCGCCTGTAGTCCCAGCTACTCGGGAGGCTGAGGCAGGAGAATGGTGTAAACCCGGGAGGTGGAGCTTGCAGTGAGCTGAGATCCGGCCACTGCACTCCAGCCTGGGCAACAGAGTGAGACTCCGTCTCAAAAAAAAAAAATTGTCAGCCATCCACTTAACAAAGAATAACTTGGTTGTGCCACCTACCAACATTTCCAACACATTAGCAAAGGAATTCAGGCCCAGTGCATCCAAAAAACATTGTTCCATTTCCTATGGATGGTCATAGCTGAATGAGCTTTCTCCAAGAAATACTATGAACCCACCTTTGGTAGTCCTATGGTTATTAATTATGAACCGTGAGCTGAATTGTCCACTTTAAAATGGTTACATTTGTTTTATGACTATCACCTCATTTAAACAAAAATTTTTAGAATCAATACCAATTTCATCCAGTTGCCTTCATTTTCACCTGGCTCAAGCCTTTTTTTTTTTTTTTTTTTTTTTTGAGATGGAGTCTTGCTGTGTTGCCAGGCTGGAGTGCAATGGTGCAATATTGGCCTATTGCACCCTCTGCCTCCTGTGTTCAAGCAATTCTGCCTCAGCATCCTGAGTAGGTGGGACTACAGGTGTACACCACCACGCCCAACTAATTTTTGTATTTTTAGTAGAGATGGTTTCACCATGTTGGCCAGGATGGTCTCAATCTCTTGACCTCATGATCCACCCACTCGGCCTCCCAAAGTGCTAGGATTACAGGCATGAGCCACCGCACCCGGCCGGCTCAAGCCATTTTTAAAAATTCATTTATGTATCTATCTTTTGAGATGGAATTTATTTTGCCCAGGCTGGAGTGCAATGATGCAATCTCGGTTCACTGCAACCTCCCCCTTCCAGTTTCAAGCAATTCTACATCAGCCTTTTGAGTAGCTGGGATTACAGACACCTGCCACCATGCCGGGCTAATTTTTGTATTTTTAGTAGAGACAGGGTTTCACCATGTTGGCCAGGCTGGTCTTGAACTCCTAACCTCGCGATCTGCCCATTTCGGCCTCCCAAAGTACTGAGATTACAGGTGTGAGCCACTGCGCCCGGTCTCAAGCCATTTTTAATCCCATTCAGAGTAGAGGATTAGAGCTGGCACAGTTACATAGTACTGAGATTGCAGTGCTGTTAAAGATTATAAAGAGGGCCAGACATCGACCACGACCTCAAAACTCACAAAGAGGAAATAGCATCTGCATTTTGCTTCATGCTAATAAGCCCAGTCAATGGAGGGCATTTATGTTTATTTTCAATAAACCCTTATTTGGCATCCATGTGACAGTGTTTGGACTTTCTGTATCTCTTGATTAGGGCTCAAATCCAGTGGATTTTGCCATGAGATTTGTACTAAGAATAAAGCATTATGTCTGTCAAGCCACAACATTAAAAATGATAGGGGCCGGGCGCGGTGGCTGACGCCTGTAATCCCAGCACTTTGGGAGGCCAGGGCGGGCGGATCACGAGGTCGGGAGATCGAGACCATCCTGGCTAACACGGTGAAACCCCGTCTCTACTAAAAATACAAAAAATTAGCCAGGCGTGGTGGCGGGCGCCTGTAGTCCCAGCTACTCTGGAGGCTGAGGCAGGAGAATGGCGTGAACCCGGGAGGCAGAGCTTGCAGTGAGCCAAGATTGCGCCACTGCACTCCAGCCTGGGCGACAGAACGAGACTCCATCTCAAAAAAAAAAAAAAATGATAGGATGGGTGCTCCATGTGCACATGTAAAGCTCATTCCGGAGGAACATGCCACACACTGGCATGTATAAGAGCTATTCACAGAGAGGTGTGCACGGCATGGATGAATGCCCAAAGATCCCAGAGTTTATGTTTATCCTCTGGCCAGGCACCTGAATCATAGTATAGCTTAGTTGTTAAGAATTCTGTTCTGGTATCAAAGAGGCCTAGGCTGAAGATCTGGACTCTGATGCTCAGTTGTGTTAGGCCAAGTTACTTAATTTCTCTAAACCTTGGTTTTCCTTATCTATAAAATGAGGCTATTAATAATGACTGTCTCAGAGGATTGTTACAAAGATTAAATAATTTATGCAAAGCATCTACCATAGAACATAATAAGTATTACATAAATGGTGACTGACAATTCCTAGGAGGCAGATTTCGGGGGCTCTAGAATCAATCAGACGTACCTCGATTTTAATTCTGGCTCTGCTGATAACTGTGTAACTTTGGGCAAATCACTTAATCCCCAGGAGCCTCAGTTTCCTCGTCTGTGAAGTGGGAATATAATAGCGCTCATATATTTCTTTCCTTCTTTCTTTCTTTTTTTCTTGACACGGAGTCTCGCTCTGTCACCCATTCAGCGTAGAGGATTAGAGCTGGCACAGTTACATAGTGCTGAGATTGCAGTGCTGTTAAAGATTATGACATCTTTAACAGCTGGAATGCAGTGATGCGACTCAGCTCACTGCAACCTCCGCCTCCCAGGTTCAAGCAATTCTCCTGCCTCAGCCTCCCAAGTAGCTGGGATTACAGGCATGCACCACCATACCCAGCTAATTTTTGTATTTTTAGTAGAGATTGGTTTTCGCCATGTTGGCCAGGCTGGTCTCAAACTCCTGACCTCAGGTGATCTGCCTGCCTTGGCCTCCCAAAGTGCTGGGATTACAGGCGTGAGCCACCGTGCCTGGCCTGCTCATATATTTCTTAGGGGTGTTGTGAGTGAGGGTTAAGCACAAGCAAGCATGTAGAGCCAGAATTATGGTGCCTAGCATTTAGCAAGCACTCCGATGTGAACTTTCCCGTAATATGGCACCCAGGTTTGTTGAGTGAAGATTTGCCCAAGTACAGCATTGCTTAAGAATGAATTCAAGCTCACCTTTCTTTTTCTGCAACAGACTAGACATACTATATTGTGTAGCATTTATACAAAATAAACTTCAGCTTAGATGTTTTTCAGCTGTAGATTTTGTTCCTGAAAGGGGATAAGAGGCTCTCCAGTAAGGGCTGCATACACGATGCAAGAGGACCCAAGCCCCTTTATGGTTATTACAATAGATGTAGACTCACTGAGCTGGCAGCTATTAAAATAAACCTAGGACCAGGCATTAATGATCAGAAAGCAAGAAGTGGTGCCTCCTGCAATTGGGTAGCTGACATAGATGAGGTGGGGGGTTTTTTTGTTGTTGTTCTTTCTATTCTTGTTCAATGATTTTTGAAATTTAATTTAAAGACAAAGTGGTTTTAATCTCGCCAAGCTGTGCACGATAGTGCTATAGAATTCATTATGTCCATTATGCTCATGCGAACGTTGATGGTACACAATCTTAGCAACACCCTAATTTATGCCGTTGTTTTGTTACTATTCAATGCATAACAGGATCCGTGAAGCCTGATTCCAGGTGAGAGAGCCAGAACACAGGTCAGCTTGTGCACAGCCGTGCTTCCTATTCCAAGGCCCTCTGCACTCAGTGACTGGAAGCAGCGTGCTACGGGCGCTCCGGAACGCCGGAGAAAGAAACGAGGGGTGTCTTCCCAGACGGGCAGTTTTCGTGAATGGTAAGTCATTTAAACCGTCATTTTTGTATCAAAAGAGATGCAGAGATGCTAGACAGTCTATTAATTTGAATGCATTTTAAAAACAAACTGCAAAGAGAGTTGTGGTATACAAGAGCCATTTCTGGCACTGCCCCCAGACTCCTGGGGAAACCAATTCAGTCTCCTCTGCCATTATAGATACTTCAGGAGAAAAATTTTTTAAAGTACTGCTGTACTGTATCATAGATTTTCAAGCATCCGTGTTACTGGGGTAAATTCTATTTCTCCTTTGAAGTTTGTGAACGTAGTATTTCTAATTTGCTTTTGAGGTTTTTAATAGTTAACATCTGTACATGGTAATAAAAGTCAAATAGTAAAGAAAATATGTAAAATGAAAAGTAAACATCTTCCTGTCCTGCGTTTCCCATCACTAGTCCCCTCCTCAAAAGTCACCGTTATTAGCAATTTCTTGGCTATCCATCCCCCCAAAACGAATGCATATTGCTGTAACGGCCGCTGATTTGTTTTATCGGAATCGTATTCTGACCACTTGGATTCAAAATGGCATGATTCTTTTAGAACCGAGTCAGACTGTGGAGTACCAGGACTAACAGAAGCTGTCGGAGGCAGGAGGGCAGGGAAAGGGTAGCTTCCGGACTCTGAGCAAGGATTTCTAAGTGTCGCCATTTATTAAAATCCTAACCTGGGTATTTTGTTTGTTTGTTTGTTTGTTTTTGTTTTGCCGGAGGGAGGTTAGTTTTGGCCGCTGAGTGACCTGGGGACAAGTCACTTCTAACATCAGGGTCTTGGTTTCTTATCCTTGAATGGAGAAATTTGGGGAACAGACAAACTCTAAAGTCCCTTCTAGTTTAGACGTCCTCCAGCTCCATCATTTTTACGGAAAGCAGAGCTGGTGAAAAGACTGGGATTAGGTGATTTAATCCTTTCAGAGAACATTTTAAAATATCTAACACAGTCATAAATGAATAGTCTCTGACTCAGAGCAGTCATTTACAGACTGTGTGAGTGGGTTGGCATTGGCAAGTAAAATTACGAATGTAAAGATTTACATTAATTTCAGGACCAAGAAGCTGAGCAACAAATTACAGCTCAGTGTTTGGGTCAGAGGTGCTCTGATTTACCTCAAAATAATTAACATC